TAACCATGACAGGACACGTTCCTAAAGTGTCTCTACAGGACACTTACCATAACCTTTTACAGGGCCAATGTATTCTAGAATGGATTTGTCTTTGAGATGGAGTCTCATTGCACAGGGCAGGCTGGTCTTGACCTAGCTCTATTTCTATCTCGGCCTTCTCAGTGCTGGGATTATAGGTGTGACTCATCTGCAGGATTTTATTGAAAAAGAAAAGGGTTTTAAGCCTCTCAAATCTAAATTTGAAATTAAATTAGCTTTTCTCATAGTATAAAAAGGTAGAACAATGCCATCTGGGCCTTTGAGGGGTTCTATGTTCCAGTAGGCATGGATTTTTCTGATTTTGCAAACTCATAAATTCAGTACAGCCATCATCAACGCCATAAATGTTATCATCCGAAGCCATAAAATTAAAACAGGGCGTGACGGAGCCATTAAGCTTTGCAGACATTGGCTCCTCCATGTGCCTTGATGGGAGAATCTGAAGGGGATGCCGCGGCGGCGGGCTGCCTCTCCGCAGAACAGCTGACTTAGTGGGGGACTGAGAACCACCTGTCAAGCTGTTTTTGCATTCTGCTTTGCCTGCTGTAGCTGTGTGGCCATCAGCAAACCCCTGCACTTCCTCCAAGCTCTGCGACCTCGTGGATTACAGTGTCTGTCTCCCTTAATGGCTCTGTCTGAGGAATAAATAAGATGCTGTGGGAGACATTTGATAATCTCAGAAAGCAAACGTGTTTCTTCTGCAGACATCTAATTGACAGGCCCAGCCTTTCTTGAGAGGGAACAAGGTATGATTTGAATGCAGGCCAGGCCTGGGCCTGTCACCCTCAGATCCTTCCTGGCCTCTTCTTTCTGTACCCCTCACTTCCTGTGTGTGGAGCGTGTGCATGTTTGTGTGGATGTGTGCATGCTTTCCTGCGGGTGTGTCCAGGTGTGCACCTGAATGTAGGAGTTAGGGGTGAATGTTGGCTGTCTTCTTCAATCACACTCTACCATACTTTGGAGACATGGTTGTTGGGGGAAGGTTGCTTGTTCATTTCCGGCTGCCCGTCTAGCTTAGACCTGAAATACTCACACAGAAACAATATTAATTAAAACACTGCTTGGCCCATTAGCTCTACCTTCTTGTTGGCTAACTCTTACATCTTAATTTAACCCATCTCCGTTAATCTGCACATCACCACGAGGTCGTGACCTACCAACAATGTTCCAGCATGTCTATCTCCAGTGGCTCTATGGCTTCTCCCTGACTCTGCCTCCTTTCTCTTGGGATTCCACCTAGCTTTCCCTGCCTACTAAAGTTCTGCCCTGCTATAGGTCCAAAGCAGTTTTTTTTTATTCATTAATGGTAATCACAGCACACAGAGGGGACTCCCACATCATGTGGTCTCTCACTACACCTGTTACTTACTCAGCCAAACTGGCTGTCCAGTGAGAGTCAGGGAATCCTGTCCCCACCTCCCTAAGACAGGGATAGCAAATGCAAGTCACCATGTGAGCCCTAAGTGCAGTGCCATGTGGGTGTTGAAAGGTGAAACTTGGGTCCTCCTGCTTGCACAGCAAGTACTTTACCCACGGAGCCAGCTCCCCAGATCTCCCTCCTTCTTCCTTCTTGCTCAGTTTCACCTGACTAGGGGCAAGGGACTGCAGACTGGGGCCCCGAAGCTCCCCTATCAGTGGGGTCCAGTCAAGGAGAACACTAACTGGGGGAGTTACAGTAAAGAAAAAGAACAGTAAATTCCTCCTTTCTGCTGGGGTCAGAGGCAGCTTCTACATCCGCCACCCTCACAGAGGGCTTTGGTCTCCAACATACCCATTCTACTCACCCCTCCAGTCTGGCTCTCTGCTGTGTTTGGCCTCTGGAGTGCTTCATTGACTCCTTCTAGGCTCTCGGCTTTCCTCTCATATGTAGGGACAGTTTGTTCGTGCATCTGAGTGTCTTTCTTCTCTTCTTTCCTCCTCCTCCTCCTCCTCCTCCTCCTCCTCCTCCTCCTCCTCCTCCTCATTCATGCCTACTTCCTCCTCTTCTTCCTCATCATCTTCCTTCTTTTGTGTTCTTACTAAAGTCTTTCTCTTATAAAGACTTTAAGTGACTTCTGGTTCTCCTTTTTGACCTTTGCGGATACCTTAAGAATATTAAGAAGACATCTCAGCAAAAAATGCTCTCAAAAATCCTTTTCCATAAAGGGGGAAGAGAACCAGATGGCTAACATGAAATGCCGCATAGCATTTTTACAGCTCCTACATTCTGCTCCATCACACCCACCGATCTGCCCACCCACCCCGAATCCATCCAGCTATCATTTTCGAGTTTTGAATGTGGGGAGGGGAGATTAACTTCTGGTCACACATGAATGAACTAGACCCACACGAGACAGCACAGGGGACCCAGAGGACACTGTGCTGAAATCAGGTGAAGACCACGGAACACTTGTTTGGGAAGCAAAGATGAGTTGGGTTCCTAGTCTGCTTTGGCACATGGAATCAATGAAGCTTTGTTATTCTTTCTGCTGATTCCTACATTCTCCCTCACTGGTAAACTGAGGCAACCAGAAAAGCAGACTGGGAAGGAACTATTATCATGGATACAGCCCCACTGCTGAGAACCGTCAGCTGCCCATGTGGAGTAGTTAGATACAGAGTTGGCAAACAGAGCTTGTCTTGTCAGCAGATTGGGCTGTCCCGCTAAGTCACTAGGCCCAGATTGCCAGGGCCTGAAAGGAGAGGATTAAAGAAAGTGGGGAACCTCGATGTTGTTACTTTCTTCTTCAAGTGCCCCCCTTAATACCCACCCTTCAGCCACAAACATACTCACCAAATGAATTCTCTGAATCCTACATCTTTATAGAAGGATTGGTACCAACTCACTGGATTGCCGAAAACCACAGACGCGGTCTAGCCTCTTCCACATCCTAGAGGGGTATGTTCTAAAACTCCGAATCAGCTAAGAAAGCCGGCTGTATACAACGTGGCATTTCCCATTCCTACTTACTGATGATAACCTATAATTTATAAAGTGCTAAGAGAATACCAAGGGTCATTAATAAGATAGAACAATATAGTGTCAGAGAAGGGCTAACTAACATTACTCTTGGACTTCAGGGCCATCAGGAAGTCAAGTAGGGGTCAGTAGAACACAAGCATTGTGATACCACAGCAGTTCCTTTGAGGCACGAGACAGCCGCTAGTGAGTAGTAGTGCATACAGGATAGTATGTGCTAGCTAGTTTTATATCAACTTAACACAAGCTAGAACTATCAGAGAGGAGGGATCCCCAACTGAAAAAAAATGCCTCCCAAAGATCTGGCTTTAGGCAAGTCTGTAGTTCATTTTCTTAATTAGTGATCCTTGGAGGAGGGCCCAGCCCATTGTGGGTGGGGCTACCTTCTGGGCTGGTGGTCCTGGACACTGTAAGAAAACAGGCTAGGCAAGCCAGTAATCAACACCCCTCCAAGGCCTCTGCCTTAACACCTTCCTGTCCTGACTTCCTCCAGTGATGAGTAGTGCTGTGGCAGTGTAAGTCAAACAAACCCCGTCCTCCCCACCGCACATTGTGTTTAGTTACAGTGCTTCATCCTAGCAATAATAACTCAGCCAAGACAGTAGATACACTGGACAAAGGGATGACCGGCATCTGAAGAGACACCAAGCAGGATGGCTGGGGTTCATTATGATAGTGAGAACGGTGGGCAAGTTGAAACATAGACTGTTTATTTATGAAAACTTTCATCAGGTACCATAAGAGTTCATAAAGTGTGGCACACTTGAGTGAGATGCTGCCGGTCACATCTGTCGCAAACAGCATAGGCGCAAGGGTAGGGAAGGTTTTCTGTAAGTTCCAGATACCAGGAAGGTCCTGATCAAGCCTCCTTAAAATAGGTGTCCTGTCTGTGAAAGGCATCCAGCACCTCTCCTAAGGACCTCCAGCATTATTACAGATCTGCTTTAAAGATGTAGGGGCATCTATTTTAGCCCCGTGGCAAATCCACCTTGTAAATGTATTTCAAGCATAGGTCAGACCCATAGCTTTAGAGAGGCACTTAAGTTATAAACCAGAATATAACGTCTATATTACAGAGGATGCTGTAACAACGTGTGTCCTTACTGCATAAATTTGTGCTTCATTTCAAATATTTTCTATAATTTTCACAACTATGTACACCTGAACATTCAACAACAGTAATAGCGAATGCTTACTCAGGATTTGGTAAATGCAAGGGCAATCTCCTAAGGTTCGGAGTCCACTGGTTTATTTCAATCACCCGCACAGTCCTGGGGAAGGGGGAGCAGACATTACAATCGACACCACTTCTTAGATAAGGAAATGGAGGCCCGAAGAGATTAACTTATTCCCTCAAAGGCACACATGCCGTGAGCCGAAGTTTTTAGAAACAAGACAAGAGTGCATGAGTGCACCTTACTGGGCCTGATGGAGCCCAGGCACGTCTGACACCCCTGTCTAAAACGTGCCAAGTGTTAAAGACGTCACCTCGAAGGCACCTTTGATAAAGGTCTATCTTTTATTGTCCTACCATATCGGTGCCTTTAAACATCTGGCTGTCGCAAAGGTCTCTGCCTCCTTTTCCACTTTTGCTTTCTCTAAGCAAAGGTCATCCTGTAAGTTAACTGGGGTGATGGAGGGACCGATGCCTGAACCCGGTAAGCGTCCTTCTCGCACGTTTTAGTGTTGTGACCTCACAAGCTCCAGTGTGAAACTCGAGTGTGGACGCAAAGCAATCGTTTTACATCTGATTTCAGGGCGCTCTAAGAAATGGCCACATCCAAGGCTTAGCTAAACCTGAACAACCGATAGGAGGGGAGGGGTTGGGGGAAGCGATGCGTCTGCGAAAACAGTAGCAGGGATTTAAAAAAAAAATCTAAAACTTTTGCCCCTAGAGGCTGTAATTTGACTGCTGTCTTTGGCAAAAGTCCAGAAAGCAAGCTTAATCTCCTTCTGAGTCGCCTCCTCCTCTGTGCCGGGTCCGCCCGCAGGGCCCCCGAGGAGGCGGGCGGGGACCGCGACCCGCGGCGGCGGCCGGAGGAGCGGGGCGGGGCGCGACGGGGCGCGTAGTGGGAAAGAGGAAGTGGAACCGGGCGAGCTGCAGGGCTTGAGGCGGCCGGAGCCGGCGCTGGAGCGCAGCTCACCGCGGAGCCTGGCGCTCAGGAGCCGCCCCTCTCCCGTAAGCGCGGCCAGGACTATTCCAGAGACCGGACAAGGGAAGCTGGAGGCCTCGACCACGCACCCGAATCTGCAGGTGGGACGGTCAGAGCGCGGTGTCTGGTCCTGGGGTTGGAGTGGGGTGTGTGTTCCTGAGTGCTACACCTGGGAGGGGTCTGACGATAGCTGGCGGTGCTGCCCGCCGTCCTGGGAGTCCCCAAGTCCGGGCTCCTCAACCCGGCTCAACCTAGGTCTGCCGACCCGCTTCTCCGGCCCCTCGCGGCTGCAGTTTGCAGCTCTGTGAAGTTTGCTCAAGAGCCACTGGGTGCCACCGCAACCCCCTAGTCCAGTGGAACTGTCCCCAAATAGGACACTCGGGGGCCAACAGCGGTGTGGACGGGAGGACAGGGAGTGTATTACGTGCTCCAGCTAGGAGCAGCCCTGAAGGGGCAGAAATTCGCATGGACGCCCCGTATCAGCTAGTCAGCGATTTTCGAAGTGAACGGGGGGGTTGAGAACCTGTGTCCCATCCGTCACCCGAACAAACGCTAATACCTAGCGGTCTGCGACTGCGTGGGCTGTTGGCGGCGGATGGCTGGAGTGGAAGGGGGCACGCAGCAGGCCCCAGGGTGCCGGCCAGAGCAGGTCCCCTCTTTGTGTCCGGGTAGAGTCTCTCTCTCTGCACTCAGCAAAGTCGGGACGTCCAAAGGAGAGAGAGGGTCATTGGCTTGCTCGGTTTCACAACGTTCGTGAGAAACAATGAAGTAGATGATTGCTTTGCATAGGCTGTGTGAAGTTGGTTTGTGTAAAGCTGAATGCGGTGTGTGCATTGCTGGAATTTCATTAAGCTCGGGCTGGTCCTTAGCGCTCTCTTTGTACCACCCTCAGGTGGCCAAGGGCTACTGCACCTATTTTCGACGCCCCCCCAGGGAAAAACGAGTTTGTCCTGGTGGGGCATCAATCTCAGAAAGCTCCAATCTTCCAGACAGAATTGTTTTGAAACTTTGGGGCACACTAGATACAAACTGAATATGCACTGGATACAAACACAGTAGGATGCCAGAATGTTAAGTCCGGGTCAGATTTACCATTTAACCAAATTCCAGGCTTAGATTGCATTAACTCTGTAAAAACCAGTGGTCAAGGGTTACAGTCAGCCTATTTGAATTTTCAGTTTCTGGAGTTCACATTATTTTCAAAAAATAGATTTTTTTCCTGTTGTTGCTAAACTGCTATAAAAACATATCTAAGCCTATCGTGTCTGGGATCTAAAAGCTCTCAACTTTAGCCTTTCACTGTGGGACGTGAGAACAAGCCATTGCTGGTAGCTTCGACTTCCTCACTGATAAAGCCGTGTCTGTACGTGAGCCAGATAGTTTGAACTGGCCTCACTCCTCCCAGCTGAGGGTATTCATTTGCTCTATGGTAGCTAACACGTCTATACAAAAGCGATGGGTTGCGGTTTGATCCTTTAACATCTGAGTCTGGCTTCCTGACTCCCAAGTTAGCTTTTTGTCCTCTTAGGATCCCACCATGTCTAAGCCACTAAAACCAACCAGGAAGAAACTTTCTTCTCCAGAGTTCATCGCCCCCCCCCATGGCTTCCTCTCCAAGTGGGTCCCCCACCAACAATCCTTGCGTGACCTCCCTCTCGTTTCCTTTGCATGGCAGATTCCCCACCGCCCTCTGTAGAAGGACTAAACAGAATGAGAACAAACAGCTGTTTGGTAGTCACATTTGTGCCCTAAGTCTGTCTTTCTTTGGTAGAATTTGTCTGCTCTTCACCTTTCCCTGTGAGTCCACTTTTTTCAATGCCTTTAGTATAGATGATTGTTACAACAACAACAACAACAACAAACCTTTTAAACTTTCCGTGGGAGATTACAGCTGTCATTCAAGGAGGTTAAATTATCACATTGTAACCTATAGAAATTGGCAGCCCAATTTTGCAAAACTAAAGACAACCAGTAGTAGTGTTTCACTGTCCGGCTTTGTTTGCGCTTGTGATTTCTTTTGGTGGTCTAATTCAGATTTACTAGTTTGTATTCTGACATAAAAATAAAAAATTAAAAAAAAAAGACGCTGAGAAACCGCAAGTCTTTTGAACCTTTGGTAAACTAAAAGCGGTTTCTTCTGATCTGTACTTTTATTCTCTGTGCTCCACATCCCCCCTCCCCTCTTTGTGGGTTTTTCTTCCTTTCACTGCTGGTAGTTAGCTCTTTCAAACAATTGTCACCTTGTAATCCTGCCACAGAGGAGATTAGATCTCCAGGCTATTCAAGCGGGGATGGCTCTTGGATGAGGTGGCCCAGCCTCTGTCTCGGAGATTTAGAATGATTAGGGGCAAGTATTCTAGGATTAGCCCTTGAATCTGAAGCTCTCCTCTGGGCCCCAGGAGCTTGCAGACCGGGACCCTGCTAAGGGAATTGTTCTGACCTGACCTGAATGATTTTATAACCAGGGAAAGTAACGCTTCTATTAGATCATTCTTTGGTTTTACTCATCCCCCCCGCCCCCTTTTTACCCTTCCTTCATATATTTCAGAAAGAATGCCCCTTAGCTCCAGAGCTGGACTGACGGTTGAATGAAGTAATCCATATTAAATCCTCGGCACATATGGTGTGCTTTGAAGATGGTAGTTGCTGAAAAGCTGATCCCTGGAGGGAGGGTTTTTGCTGGAGGTAATCCACTGTCAAAACTGCGGTTTAACCCAGCTGTGACTGACCCCTGGTCCTCCACTACCTCACGGTGATGGGTTGCATGGAGACAAATCTTCATATTTATAAACTATTTATTGGGGGTTTTTTTTGAGGGGGGGTCTTCTCCTCGCTTTTCTTAAATGCGGTCTTACTATGGAGGCCAGACGGGCCTTGAACTCACAATCCTCCTACCTTCGCTGGGGAGTCCAAGTGAGCATCACCCGGCTAGGCTGTGCTTCTCTCGTTTCTTGACATAGGAAAAGACATGATTCCTAAGGCAGAGCATTGACATATTCAGGTACAGATCCTCTTCTAGGCAGTCATCTTAGACTTCTGCGTAGCAGGCATTTTGAGACAGCCATGTTTTATTTCAGCCCTGCATCAGTCTCACTTGGCGAAATGAAAAGTTGACCCCAATCCGCTGGCCCATCAGAGCCATGGGCAGCTGTGCCAAGTAGAACTCACTGACAGAAGAGGAGCCCCGCATGATTCGGATCTGACTGGCTACATAGCCAGCAATGGGTGCTTAGAGGGGATGTTAGGCATGCCTGCTGGTCTTCTGGAAGTAGACCCTGGTTCATTGCTGAAGGACTTGGCCCCGGGACCCTAAATACTACAGAACAATTTCATATATGCCTGGCTAACCTCCTTGTCGGTAGTTAGGAGTCCAGTGGAACTCTAGAACAGCTCTCATGTTGGACTCTGAGTATCTTTTCAACCTGTGGATACAGGGTCCTGAATAGTTCCCCCCCCGCCCCCCTAATGGCTACAGGCCAAGGAAAAATTTCTTCACCATAACACCTTCCTTGGGTGAGCAGAAGTGATCGCTGTACCTGTTTCTGTGACTCAGGCTAAACCAGCTCTTCAGTGAAAGAATCAGCCTTATTTCCAAAAAAAAAAAAAAAAAAAGAAAGAAAGAAAGAAAGAAA